TGCCCTCCTCCTCCGCGGGCGCCGACGCGGGGGTTTTCAGGCTGATGTCGGAGGGGGTCGCGCAGCCCTCGGCCGGCGCCTTCTCCTTGAACTGCAGCGCCGGGGGCACGTTCAGGTACTGCTTGGCGCTCTTGGTGCCGGAGGCCGACTTGTCCATGGTGATGATGATCACCTCCTTGCCCTTGGCCTTGCAGGCGTTCAGGAGGTGCTGCAGCACGTCCTCGTCGTCGGCGTTGATGGCGTGGACCAGCGCGGACGCCCCGGAGTGGTCCTCGAGGCTGGGGTCTGCCCCGTTCTCCAGCAGCAGGGACACCACGTCTGCGCCCGCGCCCTGCATGCAGGCGTGCATGAGCGCTGTCCTCCCAGCCTTGTCCTGGATGTTGGGGTCGGCTCGGTTGTCCAGCAGGTACTTCACCATCTTGGCTTTGCTGATGCTCTGCTGGTCCACGTGCTTGGTGACACAGGCCACCATGAGGGCGGTCTCGCCTTTCTCATTGCTCTCGTTGATGTAAGCCCCCCCTTCCAGCAGGAGCCTGGTGAGCCGGAGCCGGCCGAGCCACACGGCCTTCAGGAGGGAGTTCCCGCCCGTCTGCAGCTCCGTGGCCTCGTCCATGGCCCCGGCGGCCGTCCCCTGGCGGCGGAAGGCGGTGTCAGCCGGCAGCTGGAAGGAGCGGAGAGGACAGTGAGCTCCTCCCGCTCCCTGCGGGATTCCCCGGAGCGTCCCTGCTCAGCCCTGCATCCCGCCGGCTCCGACCCCGGCCACCGCGCGCCTCAACAGGGCAGGCGGGAAGAACTACCGTGAGCGTCCCCGTGCGCATCCGCATCACCCTGTGCGCGGGATCTGCAGGGCTCCTTGGCATGCAAGGCCAGGAGCAGCGCTGGGGAAATGATGAGCTGTGCTCGTGCCCCTTCTCTTTATGATCTCTGGGACCAAACGTGCTGGTCTTTGTCACCTGGGAGGTGCCCCTGCCCTGTCTTCTCACTGCTCTACCAGGCACTGGTAGATGATTGGTGTTGGTCAATTGGGCCAATCATGATGTCAGACTCTGCCATTCCACTCAAGGATGTACCATATTTTCCCAGGAAGCACCATCAGCCATGAAGCAGTTTCTGGCCCTGCTGTTTTGGGCATGTCCCAGGATGTGGCTACCAGGGCCCTGAGTGCAGCAGCCGGCCCCAACTGTGCTGACGAGGCTCAGCTGAGACCCGCTCCCGCCCACACACCTGGCAGCTCAGTTAAATTGGGGCCCAGAGGCCCAGCTCTGGTTTGGGTGATGTTGTTGTTGAGCTTGTGTCCAGTCCTCTCAGACCAGCTCTACGGACTGGGCTTTCCTGCTCAACCTTGTGCCTGGTTGTGCCTCTGCCTGGCGTTGGCTGCTGCTGGGAGCTGTTGCTGCCAGCCCTGCCCTGCTCAGGTGCTGTGGGACGGGCCCTGCTCATGCACCGCAGCTCGTCTCCTCGCGTGGAGCAGCCCTGCTCCTGTTGCTCCTGGATGGTGCCATGGCTTCATCTCGCCTTGCTTCCTTGCTAACAAACGCGCTAACCTCTGCCTGGCTGCAGCTCCAACGCCAGGCACATGGGAATGGCCCAGCGCTGATGTGGATCCTGCTCTGCCTCGCGGCTCCCTCAGGCTGTGGCAGAGCCCGCTGGAGATGCTGCGAGCACCTTTCATGGCTCCCTGGAATGTGTATGGCTCTGCGGGGTGACATGCAAACCGAGGACCTTGTGGCCTTTGAGGAACGCCCTTGAGGATCGGCACTGCTCCCTGCGGCCCTCAGACCAAGCGGGCTCTTCGTGTGCCATGGGCAGCAGCTCCAAACTGTGCTGGAGGGGTTGGAAGATGCCCAGCACCATGGAAACGTCAGTGCAGGAACAGCCCTTGGGCAGGAGAGGGCCCTGCCACCCGCTCGCTCCATGCTCTCTCTGCCCTTCCTGCCCACTCCGAGTGGCGCTTTCCCTGCCCAGACCATGGCCATCCTTCCTGGAGGGTCTCTGCCCGCAGAGGGACCCCCCTGAGCCCGCCCTTCTCCGGAGCTCTGCAGCCTGTGCCCAGCAGCCCTTGGAAAAGCTTCCTCCGTGGTGAACCGGCCGCTCTGCCCTTCGCCACAAGCCTGTACCTTGGTGCCCGGGGCCAGGCGTGGATCCCACAGCTCTCCATCTTGCCGTAAGTGCTTTGCTCCAGGTCACTGTGTTGCCCTCCCTCCTCATGGGCCATGTCACTTCCCTCTCCCACTGGCACGGGACTGGGATACCTCCAGACTTATTTTAAAGTTGCTCTCCTGGCGGCTCTCACCTCCATTTCCCCTTGCTCCTTCTCCATAGTCTGGTCGTGGGTGCTGTCCAGGTGCGGATGTTCCTGTTCCTGCAGCTCCTTGTCCCTTCCTGCTGTCCCTCTGGGAGTCACCAAGGTTGTGGGGTCAGGGGCTCGCTCAGCCCTGGGGCTGCAGGGGTAACAGGGCAGAGAACGGGGGCGCTTGATGTAGGTGGCTGCCCCCTCCCACCCCGAGCATCTGATCCTGCCCCCCTGCTCGTGAACCCCCCGGCCGGGGG